GTACCAGCCCCCGGAAGACAAGAGTCCTCTGCAACCCGCGGCTCAGCTCCAACTCCAGCACCCCCAGAACCAGAGACCTGTACAGGGACAGTCGCCGGACCAACCTCTCGAGAGGGAGCACCTGCAGGAGGCGGCGAGGAAGACTGTGGGGAGGGAGGCTGTACAGGGGGGGCTACCGAAGGGGGAGGGCTAGCCTGAGACACACCAGACGGGGCTGGACCAGGGGGGGGAGGCTGTACCGGGGGAGCAGGCGGGGGAGCGGCTGTCAGGAAGAGGGGGGGAGGAGGAACCGGGAGACCTCGACTGGGGTACCTGACGTAGTAGGGGGTGGACTCCTCGAAACGGACGTCACGGGAGTCAAAGAACCGGTGAGAGGGAGGGTGGTAAAAGGTGAAGTCAGAGGAGTCCTCAGGGAAACCAAGGAAGACACAAGGAACGGCGCGAGGCGAGAGCTTGTCCGCGGAGGTGTCGCGGACAAGAGCCAAGCACCCCCAGACACGAAACCTCGACGCGACACCAGGGGACCCTGTCCAAAGACTGGTCGGTGAAGCCTCCGGCCGAGAGACGCGTGGCCAGAGGTTCAGCTGGTGCGCGGCGTACCTGACTGCGTATGGCCACAGGAAATGGGGGGCACGGGCGTGAGTCAAGGAGGTGCGGGCAATCTCCATGACCAGGCCTATGCGACGCTCAGCAACCCCATTCTGCTGTGGGGACTCCGGAAGCGTCCAGGACTGACGAATGCCCTGTTCGCGACAGAATCCAGCGAGAATGCCGGAGCGAAACTCGCCCCCGCGGTCGGAGTGGAGACAGCTGACACGACGACCACGAGTGTCCTGGGTGGTAAGCAACCACCTGATCAGCGTAGAAGTCACCTCAGACTTCCTCGCCAGGGGGAACACTGTGGTGTAGCGGGAGTAGTCGTCAACGACCACCAAAAAGAAACGCTCACGCTCAGGGCCAGGGCGAGGAGAGGGGCCCCAGACGTCCAAGTGCAGCGTCTCAAAAGGCTCGGTGGCCGGACGAAGGGAGGAGGAGTGAGGGGTGGCACGCAGCCTACCCTCGACGCAAGGACCGCACGGTGGTGCAAGAGACGGCGGCAGCGACGGCAAGACACGCGGGAGACCTAAGACCAGACGCTGACTAGACATAGCACGCAGACGTGGAAGAGAAGGGTGTCCCATCCGGTGGTGCCACAGAACGGTGGGGTGGGCAAGCGACCGACAGGAGCAAGACGCAGCGACTGGACTGGACGCGACAACCTGAGGGGACGGAACCACCTGGTGAGACGCAGGGAGGAGACTAGGGGGAGGGACAGGAACTGGGAGGAGTGGCTGCTGCGACGGCGGCCGCTGTGGCTGCGGCTGCGGCTGCGGCTGCTGCCGCTGCTGCTGCTGCGGCTGCTGCTGCTGCTGCTGCTGCGGCTGCTGCTGCTGCTGCAGTCGCTGCTGAGCGCGCGGGCCAGTGTGAAGAGTGTAGAGACCGGAGCCCGGCTCAGCAGCAAAAGTGGCGAGGGGCTGGTAAGAGTCCCCGTCAACACACACCGCAGTCTCTCCAGAAGGCTCAAACCACACACCCACGTGCTGACTCACGAGGGGTCGCACGCCCACCAAGTTCCGGGAGAACGAGGGGACGTGAAACCCAGTGAGAGACCCAGAAGGAGCAGCCGGACACGGCAAGGTGGTAGTGTGACGCGCAGTGACTGGTCCCGAAGTGGGATCAGCCAGCGCCACAGAAACAGGCGCAGGAAGAGGCGTAAGTGTCGTGCTGTCACGAAAGAAGCAGTGAGAGGCTCCAGAGTCCAGCGTGAACGACAGCGAACCGTCCTCTGAGGTAGCCGCTGGACTAGAGTCTACACAAGAACCTACACTAGCAACAGGCAACTGAGCAAGGCTAGCACCTAAGCTAACAACACCAGAGTAAGCAGAGTCAGAAACACTAGAGTCAACAACAGCATACATAGCATGGGGAGTACCAATCAGATCAACTAACTGCTCAGCAGACATGCCCCAGAGAGCGGAGCCGTAGCGCTGAACAAGAGGCAGCCAGTCAGGGGCAGGAGCACCAACCCCGTAGACCAAACGAACCGTGTCAGTGAGCTGAGCAAAGCACTGACCAGGGGGGTGAAACCGGCCACAAGGGTGGCCACGACGAGTGCCTGTCAGAACCTGGTAGGTGCAGGGAGTGTAAGCAGCACCGCGCTGGGTCTGACGCAGCCCCGACCCCGGAGCCAGCTGCTGCCGCTGCTGCTGCTGAGGCTGCTGGGAGGAGAGGGGCTGCTGGTGCTGCAGAAGCTGCTGCTGACGCTGAGCCTGGTACCACGCCGCTGCTCCACCAACCGGGGCAGGAAGTACAGGAGGCGACTGACGAACTCGGGCGTCGCCACCACTAGCAGGCGCAGTGGAGTCACCAGTCACTGCACGAGGCGCCTCTCCAGGCCCTGAACCTCCACCGCCGCCAGGCGCAACGCCACCTCCACTACCTCCGCCTCCACCTCCACTACCACCACCAGAACCGCCTTTCTTGCCACTCCTACCGCGGGACCGCGACGCAGTCGTAACAGCAGCTGCAGTCGCGTCAGTAGCGGCAGTGGCAAGTGAGGCAGTAAAGGTGGGTAACTGCGGGACTGTGCACCCGTGGAAGAGTGGGGGGGGCACAGCACCAGAGGCAGCGGCTACCGAGCGAAGGTTGCTCTCGACGTCCTTGAGTGCAGACTCAAGGACATCGACGGTGAGCTCACTAGGGTGCTTCAGCAGAAGCGCGTCGCGAACGGAGGCAAGGCGGTCAGGGAGGCTAGTGGCGATGAAATAGATAGTAATCGCCATAGGGGGAGGAAGCAGTGCAAGCTGTGCCTCAGTGCAAGCAGCGCGGTAACTAGCGTCGAGCGAGCGGAGGTGAGCGATCAAGTCAGCAGAGCGCTCAAACGAGGCGAGATCAGGAAACAGGAACGGGAGGAAAAGACGGCCAAGAGAGACAGTAGCGGGAGTAGAGTAGCGGGCCTTAATCGCAGTGAGGTACGCAGCAGCGGTGCGAACCTGAGTGAAGTGGACCTCCTCTGACTCAGGGAGGAGGCTGCTGAGTGCGATGCAGGCCGCAGCGTCACGCGACGTCCAAGCCGTCCTGTCAGCGCGCTGACGGGCAAAGCGAGCCGTAGCAGCATCGTCAGGGGCAGGACCTAAAGCGGCAGGCTCGGGGGGCTCGGGGAGGTCACCAGTAGCGTGCGACCAGAGGGTCTCGCCCCCCTGGACTTGACTCTCTAACAGACGGCGAGCGCGAAGAAGCCAGACGGAGAAGTCAATTGGTCTACCGTCAGCGTCGAAACGAAGAACTCGCGGAGTCGCCATAGCGAGAACGAACGCGAACGAGCAGGCGAGTAACAGCAGGAGGTAAGAGGCAAATTAGGGTTCAGGTGGGGGGACTTAGTCGCAGCGGAAGAACGGGCTAGGGCGACGGGCCAGGGCGTAGGGTCGACGGGACGGGGGAAAGGGCGGGCGCGATGCGACGGGGCAGGGCGACGCGACGGGGCAGGGCGACGCGACGGAGCAGAGGCGACGGGACGGGGAAGGGCGACGCGACGGGGCAGGGCGACGCGACGGGGCAGGGCGACGGGACGGGGAAGGGCGACGGGACGGGGCAGGGCGACGGGACGGGGCAGGGCGACGCGACGGGGCAGGGCGACGGGACGGGGAAGGGCGACGGGACGGGGCAGGGCGACGGGACGGGGCAGGGCGACGCGACGGGGCAGGGCGACGGGACGGGGAAGGGCGACGGGACGGGGCAGGGCGACGGGACGGGGCAGGGCGACGCGACGGAGCAGAGGCGACGGGACGGGGAAGGGCGACGGGACGGGGGGAAAGGGCGCGACGCGACGGGGGGAAAGGGCGCGACGCGACGGGGGGAAAGAGCGCGACGCGACGGGGGGAAAAGGGCGCGACTCGACTGGGGGGAAAGGGCGCGACGCGACGGGGGGAAAGGGACGCGACGAGGGGGAAAGGGCGGGCAGGACGCGACGCTAGGAGTGGCGCTAGGCGCGGCACTACGCGCGGTAACAACGAAACCGGGACGAATGAGAGCTAGGATCAGGCTCGGGAGGCTCGAACGGAGAACGGAGGAACGGGATCCCACAGGATCCTAACCGCTCTGATACCATGTCAGAATGAAGAATGGATGGTGCATTGATGTTGGTTGGGGTACATATAGCTAACCCTAAGTTTTGTACCCCCTAAGACAAACCTCACTATAGGCTACAACATTTGACAGTTAGAGTAGCAGCAGCACTAGTAGTGAAGTTCGGCTGCGGCTGCTCTGCTATGCTAAACAGAGTCTGGTCTGGTCTGTTTGTGATAAAATCAGAACCCTGAACACTACAATTTTTGCCCTGACAGGTCAGGATTATTTTCTGCAAAAGCCCTGACCAATCAGGAAGGCTCTGAAGATTTGCCCTGAGAAATCAGGGCATTTTTTTGGATTCTAGAAAAGTGCCCTGAGGGCTCAGGGTGTCCCAAAACCTAGCACGGGCCCTGTGTCCATTCACAATCTTGACACACATCTCCTGAAATGGAATCACCACCATTCTCAGAAGTGGCAGTTTTGGAACACATTTGCTGAAACTGCCAGTGGTGATTTGGTCTACTATTGCTTACATAAAGCTGGATTGTGCCTGATATGGTACTTTTATACTGCTGTCGCAATGGCCATGTGACGAGTGTAGTGTCTAGTCCGGTAGTTGTCTCTCTTACAGCCCGTGTGCATGGATGATGGAGTGTAGATTGACACTGTACTTACAGTACCGTACCAGTACTTGAAACACAGCTCGCTCTTGATCTGTTGGGTATAAAATGCAGAACACACACAGCAGCAAGTACCAGTGTACTTGGTATATTGTGCAGCCACATGCGAAGTGTACAGATTCACAATACTGTACACCCACACCATCTTGAGCTTGTGTAGTGTTGTATTGTGTGCTACATGTTAGGGTGCAAAACATCGTTGTGAGCAACTGCTTATGCTGTGCGGCGCACCGCCTTTGGTTGTGAGGTGATCACCAGCAGATGCGTTGCTGCGAGTACCCATCTGATACATGTGCCAGTGGTGGGGGAGGAACGAGAGGGGAGAGTGGTGGGGGGAGGAGAAGGGGAGTGGCAACTGGGGAAGAAGGTAGGGAAATTACTTATAAGTGGACTCAAAACAAAGAGATCACCAGCAGACATTGGGCTGACAAAGCTGCAGAGAATTTCAAATCAAATACCACGGAAAATATGCCAGTAGCATACTTTGAGAGAGATGTGAGGGTTCGGAGAAGGTGCAGGGGAGCGGGTGAGAGGGGAAAGAAAGTGGCAGATGGGAGAGTGGAAGCGGATGGAAAAGGTGAGAATGGGGAGAGGGAGGAGAGTGAGAGGAGGAGAGTGAGAGGAGGGGAGATGCAAGAGGGAACGAGGTGGACAGAGAACGAGAGGGAACAATCATTCGAGTGGCAAATACTCTATGGTAGCACAAAGTTAGGGGAGACGATATGAGACGATATGAGACGATATGAGACGATATGAGACGATATGAGACGATATGAGACGATATGAGACGATATGAGACGATATGAGACGATATGAGACGATATGAGACGATATGAGACGATATGAGACGATATGGAGACGATATGAGACGATATGGAGACGATATGAGACGATATGGAGACGATATGAGACGATATGGAGACGATATGAGACGATATGGAGACGATATGGAGACGATATGGAGACGATATGGAGACGATATGGAGACGATATGGAGACAATATGGAGATGATATGGAGATGATATGGAGATGAGAACGTGGGGATAGATAGTACATGCACTGGAGTGAAAGTGAGGGGTGCAAGTAGCTGTGATGTGACGACCCATGGCCTCACCAGCTACTGTGATGTGGACAGTATTCACTGTGGTGCTATGTGGACAGTATTCACTGTGGTGCTATGTGGACAGTATTCACTATAATGCGCTTCTTCGTCTAAGCTTCTTCCGTTACAGACGCCCACAACAGCAAGTGCTTACCTATAGATGACAGGCAGCACCATTATGCAGTACAGAGCCACCTTCTTCTGCCACAGCCTGCGCAGCTCGGGCAGCTGCACAAAAACTTCTGTCACGTCCACAGTGTACGAGCCGGCTAGAAGACTGCCCGGAGGAAAAAAAAGGATGTGGACGCGCAAAGTGGGGGGGCGGGGGGGGGGAGGATAAGGGGGGAGGGGGAGGGGGAAAGGATGGAGGGAAGGGGAATATCAAGGGAGGGGAAAAGGAGGTGTGGCAAAGTGGTGGAGTTGAGGAGACGTATATGGGCGGTAATGACACGTCTCAGAATGCATAGAGTGCTGACGCATTGTGAAAGGGCTGCTTGACTGGACAGAGCAGCGTAACAGGCCACACGCGCACCCATGATGAACCCACCAGCAACCCTCCAACCCATCGACCCATCAACGCATCCCCGCATAAACCCACCAGCCCATAACGTGTTTGATTCTAAGGCGCCTTAACAACACAGCACCAACACAGGAAACCACAGCACACCACCGCACAGCATCCACCCACCATCGCGCGTGGAAGAGCAGCAGCGGCACGTTGAGGGCAAAGAGAACAAGTCCAAGCAGGGAGGGCGGGAAGAGCAGCAGCAGCAGCGCGACAGCTGCGTGTGCGAGCATGTCCGGCAGCAGAAAGCGGTTGATAGACGCTGCACTGTCGTGTGGGTTGATGTAATCGTGCTGGAGGTCCGATAGGGTCACCAGCTGAAAGGGGGGAGGAGGAGAGGAGGGGGGAGGAAGCGGTTGATGGTTGCTGCACTGTCAGGGGAGGGTTAATGTAGTCGTGCTGGAGGTCCGAGAGTGTCACCAGCTGGGGGAGAGGGGGAAGGGGAAGGGGGATAGGAGATAGGGGAGGGACAGGGGCCGGTTGAGTGGCGCACGCCCAGTGGCAGCGAGCAGATCCCAAGGGGAGCTGCTGTGCTACAGTGCTGCAGCAGCAGTAGCAGTAGCAGGAGGCGGTTGATGGATGCTGTGATGTCCTGCGGGTTTATGTAGTCGTGCTGGAGGTCCGATAGGGTCACCAGCTGGCGCGGGAAGGGAGATAGGGGGAATAGAGGGAGTGGTTCATGCGAAAGGGGGCACATTGCGGTTGAGGGAAGAAGGCCCAGGAGCAGGATTGAAAAAGGCGCGGATTATTATTTTCCCCTTCCGCCCAGCACTCACGCAGAAGATACCGACGGCGACTAGAAGCCCCGCCGCCACGAACGCGAAGCCCCATACCAGGAACGCCGCCCACGCGCCTACGCGCCCGCCGCCGCGGCGGTCGCCGCCAGAAGCGCGGGGCCAGCCATACCCCCCCCGTTGACCATCGCCAGTGATTTCAGCCCCACCGCTTCCCCTTTCCGCCTCCTCCCCCGCCGCCGCCTCTTGCGCTAGCCTGATAGCGCGCTTTCCTTCACTCGATATTTGTCCGCTCCTCTCCAAAATTCTCGCACGATCGGGATTCGCGGCTGCGGGGATCGCGGCCGCGGGAATCGCGGCGAGGGCGAGTGCTAGCAGAAGGATCAGAGTGGGGATTGATACGACGAGCGATGGTGTTTTGAGCGTGAGAGCGGGACGTGAAAGGTGCGTTCGAGGTTTCAGTGCGAAAGAGACGCGCGAGGTTAAGCAGTGGACGTGGCGGAAGCGCGCCAAGGAGACGGCCATGTGCGAAGGGCGACGGTGATACCCGCCGCAACGCGAAAGGCCTGCGAGTCAGCTCCACCTGCGAAGGAATTCGTATTTGGAAGCCACAGGCGAAATGGTTTGAGGTCGTTATAGCATAGCTCGCCTCTTGTTTTGTGAAAGAAATGCAATTACCTACGATTGCATTCGCGCTGTGAACTTTGCAGGATAGAACTAGCTTACATTAGAATAATGAAATAACTCAGTGGAAATGCTTTATGAATGCTTCAGACCAGGGCTCTTGCTAGGATTTGAGGGCCTCTGATGCATCAGATGGGTCCCCCAGGAAAAAAAAATGGTTTTGTCTGATTTGGATTGAAAAATCAGATGAACATAAAAAAATGTGCCTGAAATTCAGTTCAGACCATCAATCCAAAATGGTCTGATAACGAGAGCCCTGCTTCAGACGTACCTGTTCTCATAGTTACCAGCTTCTGCTACCATCAAATCTATTTATCTTGTACACAATCCAGATCCCACATCCAGTGCGCCCAGATTTCAGGTAGTATATGTCAAGATAGGGACGTATGAGTTTAGGAGGGCCTAGGCTTAGGAGCCTAGGCCAAGGGGTGTCGAGGGAGTTGTGCCAAGAGAGTTACGAGAAAGAAGGGGCATTCACTATAGCACACAAGGTACATATAGCAAAGCAACAAAGAAGGTGCACCACCAACTCTTAATAATAATAACTACAGTACCTACAGCACGCAGGGTATATATTAAACATATTGTTTGACAGTATAACACCAATGGCATGACACAATCAGGCCCTAGAAGCACATGAATGTGAGGAAGTCCAATGCCAATGAATACCGGTAGATGGTTTCATAGCAATGTGTACGGATGCCATAGAAGGAACACAGCAGACGAACCTAATATGGTGCCACGTGGTGTAGCACAGCTTCATCTCCCCCCAAATATCGTTGATTGTGAAAGCTTGCTATTTGTCTTTGCAAATGCAACGTCTCATTTCAACTGGCAAGTACAAGATTTTTTATCGTCCAAGCATATTACATAGTAACAACGATGAATTCTCTACTATACTAGGGTGGGAGGGTGGGGAACTTGAAAACTGAAAGTTTGAAATGAAAAACGTGGGTGAAGGCCAAATGGCCTTCGCCCCCTCTTTTATACCGAAAAAGAGGGGAAGTAGCGGTTCGCCGAAGCATTTTGCTTCGGTACAAATATCTTCGCTATTCACAATACACAATTTTAGAAAGTGTTACACACTTTCAAAAATTTACATATTGTGAAAGCTTGCTATTTGTCTTTGCAAATGCAACGTCTCATTTCAACTGGGTTTTCTGAGACATGGTGAGTGCTTGTTGGCGGTGTCGAGTAAGGGCACGCTCATGCTGCGAGGGGGACGGAACGTGCGCCTGATCGTGAAGGCGCCGCGACGCAGCAAGGAGGTGATCGTGGGAGATGGTGACATAAAGGTCCTTCGCGGTTTCGCTCCGCCATCGCCCCAGTCTTTTGAAAAGGCGGTCCGGGATGCCCGTACTCGCTGCAACTGTTGCTGCCCCTTTGCGGAATGAATGGGTGCCGAGGTTTGTAGGGTCGATGCCGGCTGCTTGGAATGCCTGCAAGCACCACGTGCGGACAGTGGGGTATGATGGGGCGGTATCCTGCGAGGATGGCGGGAAGTTGCGTCGAAAAATACGAATTAACGGGCCTTTGGTCTTTGGCCCGTACTGTGCCAGCTTGATGAAGTGCCTGGTGCACCGCACGGGGCAGAATGGTCCGTCAGTCGCGGCAACGGGGACCCATACGCCCTTGCTCTCCTGATCGGTTTTGGAGTGCGGAATTAGGAGCCACATTGCCGTAGCCTCGAACTGGATGTCCTCCCACTGGATGGACACCAGGTCCGAGAAGCGAAGGAAGGCCGAGTACATGAGCAGCACGATGAGGCCCTTCTGGTAGGTGCCGGGTTCGCGTGACTGGAGAAAAGGCCCCGCCATTGCCTGGACTTGATGGAGGGAGACGGGCTCTTTCACTCGTGTAGGCCGAGGGCAGTGTCGTTTGGCGTACTCTCGGACTTGCGTTGTGAACGGGCCGTTCGCTGGGTTGGCTGACCCTGTCATGCGATGGGCAAAGCTGACTGCAGCGCATGTGAGCTGTACGCTGGAGACTGTGGCCTGGTGGTTGATTGCGTGCACTAAGTAGAGTGCAAGCGTGAGATCTGCGGCAGGCAAGAAATCCACTTTGGCCTTCATGCAAAAGCTGCGAAACTTCTCCCAGTACGGTTCGTATGTGTTGATTGTTGATTCCGATCGTGTCTTGGCTGTCATAAGAAGTAGCTGGTGATGCAACCTTGGAAGCATATCTGTAATCATAGGATACAAGAATGGTACATCAAGGTTTGTAATTGACTTTCAGTGCTAAGATACGACTGACTGGAAGACCAGCACCCGAGAATGCATGTTCATGGGAGCCCACATGCAAGCATTGACTACCACTAGCAAGGTAGAGGATGGAGGAGATGCCGATTGCCCAGGTGTGTGGGGAAGGTCTGATTGGTTGCCACCAAGCAGCGCCTGTCCATTCGGGAACGACTAGTGTCATCGTGGCGTTCGTGCGTGCGGCATGGTGCAAGGTCGCTGGGATGAGGTTCGGCGGCGGGAACGCGAAGCCGTGCTCTAATCCCCAATCGAGCGAGAATGCATTTATGGCAGTTGCACGTGGGTGCGGATGTTTAGCGCAGAAGCGCGGGAGCTGTGCGTTGTTGGCATTGGCGAATAGGTCGATGGTGTGTGATCCCCAACGCCTTTCCAATAATCGAAACCAGGGGAGCTTGAGCGAGTAGTCGTCGTGGTCTTCCAATTTGGACAGTGCATCTGCATGCGTATTGAGAGCACGTGGAATCCATTCGATGGCCAGACGGGTTTCGTGCGCCATGCAAATTGCGACGATGGCCTTGCACAGAAGAGTGAGCTCAGGCTGGCGAGAGCCGCCTTTGCGCAGAATGAAGAAGACGCCTTGGTTGTCTACTCGCATGAGTACGCGGCGACCTTGGATCTGGTCCTTGAACGTCTGCAGTGCCCATAGCACTCCCTCGAGCTCTCGGCGTGTGCTCGATGTGGAGAGAAGTTCTTTTGGCATGGGGCTGCTTCCTTGCGAGCTTCCGCCGGGGAAGGATGAAAGGGTTGCACCCCAACTGTGTGCGCTAGCGTCGACGTGAATGACCGTGTCCAGACTGTGGGGCATGTGAAAAGGAGCCCCGTTAAAATGGTCGAAGTGGTCAGACCAAAATTGTAGCTCGTCGCGAACTTCCGAGGTCAGGGTCACTCGTGCATTCCATGATGGCGCCTCATTAATGAGTGTCAAAAGTTGATGGCTAAAAGAGCGCGCCGTCGCACCAAGGGCGAGCGCCATGGATGCAAGGATGCCGGTGACGCGGGCGACGAGGCGGATTGATACCCGCTGGTTGCGCTCGTAGGCGAGAAGCAGCACATGTAGTGCTTGTGTGAGTTGCGCCTTTCTCTCCTGGCCGATAGTGAACCTTCCGGATGCGGTGTCCAGCTCCATTCCGAGGAAGTGCAATTTTTGAGTCGCGATCAGGTGCGACTTTTTTGCGTTGATGACGAGCCCCGACTCCTTGAGGTCTCGAATGACTGCACCACTTTTCAAACGAGCGTCCTGTTCCGAGTCGCAAAGGAACAATATATCGTCCACATAGGGTATGACCCGAATGCCTTGCGCTCGCCATTTCCGTGCCAACTGCTTGATCAACTGGGTGAACAGGAAGGGCGCTGTAGCGAGGCCGAACGGCAACGACTTGAAAACATAGTCGGTGCCTTCAAAGTGAAAACCTAGAAATGACCAGCAAGATGAGTGAATATCGACATGATGATAGCCAGACTTTAAGTCAACCGAGAACATCCAGTCGCCCGGCTTCGCCAGTTCAGCGACATGAAGAAGTCCTTCGTACTTGAATTTGGGGACAATTAGGTATTGATTGACCTTTCGCAAGTCGAGAATGAGGCGGCACTTGTTGCGTTGTTCCACAACGTTGAGTGGGCTGATGCATGTAACGGCCGATGAGCTAGATGCAACTGCTGCTGCTCCTGACGTGAGCAATTCCTGAATTGCCGATCGGGTGAAGTCGGTGTGCTTCAAGACTCCGGCGTGATTTTGCTCACGGAACGGCGGTGGTGAGAATGCCTTCCAAGGAAGCCAATATCCATTGACAATGACCGACAGGATCAAGGAGCTCTCGCACCAGGAAGCCCACCAAGCGAACGCCTGTCGGAGGCGACCACCCATGGTTGTGACATCACGATCGGTAACCGCATTTGCCAAGATCTCGTCCTGCTCCCCGGACCATGAAGGCGTTGTGGCTGCCATGGGGTGTTTCGTTGCGGGATGGCAGAGGTACAGGATCGAACCATGACGTTCAAATTACGTGAAATGTATCGGCGCGCACGTATGAGCAGGTCATTCACGCATAACGACATGCACCTCGTGGTTTTGATAAGGGTAATGAGGTTGCGAGTGCACGTGAGTGAGGTGCGGCTAAGAATCTGTTGGATACAACATGTATCACCCCTCTTTGTGGGTGTCAAAGTGAGAACCGTTCAAGCGAGGGTCCATGCGCGTTGCGCGCGTCTCTCTCTCTCTCTCTCTCTCTCTCTCTCTCTCTCTCTCTCTCTCTCTCTCTCTCTCTCTCTCTCTCTCTCTCTCTCTCTCTCTCTCTCTCTCTCTCTCTCTCTCTCTCTCTCTCTCTCTCTCTCGCAAGGCATGTCAGCTGGATGGCTTGGTAACAACGGCACTATTGGCCACGGGAACTCACTATGCCTTGCCATGCGAAGCGTTGTGACTTTCTCATGCTATTGAGTTGGTCGTTGCCTTCCCATA